ACTAGGATTTCAGGCATGAGTAGATAGGTAAGAAGTCCTTTTGATGAAATAATGGGATTTTCTTGTTACTCTCAAATCAAATCCTAATATGATAAACTTTCATTGATCTCTCATCTTTGTTTAAGAAGACCTTCAAGATTGCTTAGTCCAAATTGACAATATTAAAATACAACTAGCTGTAACTACCACAGTATAGATTTATCTTTTGTTGAAGATAGAAATGTCACCTACTGCATTTGGCACGTCATATGCAACTCCTTTCCCAAACACAGGGGTTGTCAGCCGGCCATAGACATCTTCTGCATTCAAGTCTTCATTCTTACTATTGAAAAGCAGGGCAGCAGCATCACTCCCCAGAAGGTAAGTAAAAGTCTTGCCCACCATAGTAAAGCTAAATACAGGTCCATACTAAAGAAAGAAAGGTATTCATAAATAATGGTGTTACAAAAAGATTTTCTAAGTCAAAATAATGCAGTTTCATAATATTCATAAAGGACTCTCTTAGGCTGACATTCTTCACCCTACCTTCATCTAAATGTATTATGTGCATCTAGTCACAAAAGTAGTATAAATGCAATGATTTACTCTGCTTTACCATTGTTTATACTAAAACTATTTCCTGTATTGGAAACATCAGACAGCTAATATTTTCTATGATTAGATATTACCATGTTAACTCAATTAGCTATTCTCCATTAGTAGACACATAAGTATGCAAGTTTTTTTTTTTTTTGAACTGTTGTTCTGTTTTGTTCTATACTGACTATACAGAATTCCGTAATCAACACTTCTGTAATTTTTTTTTCATTTGTTAAAAATAAATTTACCTTGCCAGGCGTGGTGGTGCATGCCTTTTATGCCAGCACTCAGAGGCAGAGGCAGTCAGATCTCTGTTCAAGGCCAGCCTGGTCTACATAGTGAGTTCCAGGCCAGCTGGTGCTACAGGGAGAATCTAGATGAAGGGAGGAGAGAAATGACTCTCACCTCTGAGCACCATACATGCGCCATGGCGCGCGCGCACACACACACACACACACACACACGCATATATAATAAATGTTTAAGCATTTAAGTCAAAGCAACCTCCTGCCTCAGCCTCTCAAGTGCTGGGATTACAAGTATGAGCTACCATGCCCAGCTACCATATGCTTCAATGGAGAGGGAGAAAGATTCAAAGGTTTAGAAAAATGAAAGCTTGATTTCTTTACTGTGGTTAGTGGGAAAGTAAGTCAATCACAGAAACATTTGTTGAGAAACATTTATATTTCATGCAAGGTAGGCAATCAAGAAATTATGAAGGAACCGCTATGATGCAAGGAAGAAGAAAATGAGTAACTGACTCCCTCCACAGTGGGAGTCTGGCCAGGTGAGCAAAGAGAAAACATCCCGAGGCAAGAAAACTTTAGGAATTAGCAGGAAATGATAGACCTTGGACCCAAAGGGAAAGAAAGAAGGCTGACAGATAGGTGCAGAGCAAAGTAAATGGGAAAATGGACTAGAAGACCTAATGAAGTTAAAGAATTGTTATAAAGAAAGGACTTGCACAAGCAAACCAGGAGAAGGTATGGTATAATAGTGTACTGGGCTAGTGAGATGGCCCAGTGGTTAAAAGCCTTTTGCAGAGAGGATCTGAGTTCAGTTCCCAGCACCCACATGGGGTGGCTCACAACTGCTTGTAACTCCAGCTCTAGGGGATTCACACCATCTTATAGCCTCTGCAAGCAACTGTACTCACGTGCACATAACCCCACATAGACACACAAGCATACACATAATTCAAAATAAAAATAAATATTAAAAAAATAGAGAGTACCTTAGATGAGGGAGGAGTACGTGAGCCCCCCACCTCTAGCTGAGGAGCTATTGACAACTGATAACTGCTGGGGAAGCATCAGTTTGTTTAGGGGTGCGGTCCCTGGTAGGTTGTGTGCTCTAGAGGACGGATATGTACATGGGCAGCACTAACTGGACTCAGTAGCTTATAAAAAACCAAAAGAGGGGCTGGAGAGATGGCTCAGCAGTTAAGAGCACTGACTGCTCTTGCAGAGGACCCGGTTTGATTCCCAGCACCCACATGGTGGCTAATAACCATTGTAACTCCAGTCCCGGGGGAAATCCAAGACCTTCTTCTGACCTCCAAGGGCATTGCATGACACAGGTATGCTTACACACATGCAGGCAATACGCTCATACACATGAAATAAAAATAAAAATAAATTTTTTTGGTCTTTTTGAGACAGGATCTCCCTGTAGCCCCAGCTGTCCTGGAACTCACTATGTAGACCAGGCTGGCCTTGAACTCACAGAGATCCGCCTGCCTCTGCCTCCCAAGTGCTGGGATTAAAGGCATGCGCCACCACACCCAACCAGATAAAATGTTTTAAAAAAATTAATAGAGGCCATGAAATTGAAAGGGGGAGGTGGTGGGGAGGATCCAGGAGGAGCTGGAAGTGGAGAGGAGAGTACATACGATCAAAATAGATTTTATTCATGTATGATATTCTCAAAATAGAGTATTAAAAATAAAAACAAATAGAATACATCCAATTAATATTGTGAGGGGCAATTAATTAGCAAGAGGTCCAAGCAAAACTATGGGAATAATGGTTGAACTGATGCAAGAGCACTCTTTAGAAAGGAGAAGAGCAAAGATTTTAGAGCCCATATCATATGGATCACCCAAGTGGAGAGGTAAGTAACAAAAGATGGGTAGAAGATGGCTAGGAAATTCCAGAGATACATGGTTAAGAAAATGAGAGTCAGCTTTACCTATAGTCAGTGGAAATAAAATGTAAGACAAATGTTTTTAAAAACATAATTGGCGTCGAGTGCTTAAACCCAAGGTTGGCTGGGAGGGCAGAGACAGTGCAGGAGGGAGAAGCCCTTGGCCAGCCTGCGAGGGAGGGTGGTATCTACTCCCCAAATCCAGTGTCCCGATGCCCAGCATCAACACCAGCGGCAAGGGTCAGGAGAAGCCCCAGGAGATTATGCTAAAGAGAGATATGGGATATCTTCTACCACACAATCACAAGAAAAACCAGATCGAATTTCGGTTAGAGTTAGAGACTTGACAGTACAAAATGCTGATGTTGTTTGGGTCCATGCAAGCAGAACAAAAGGGAAGCAGTGCATCCAAGTCCTGTGATAGCAGCAGTTTAATGTCTAGGCTCTTGTGGCAGTGGGAGACCACGCACACAAGCAGATGGTTAAATTTGCTACCAGCATCAACAAAGAAAGCATCGTTGATGTAGAAGGCATTGTGAGAAAAGTAAATCAAAAAATTGGAAGTTGTACACAGCAAGATGTTGAATTACATGTTCAAAAGATTTATGTTATCAGTTCAGCTGAACCTTGCCTGCCCGTGCAGCTGGATGGTGCCATTTGGTCTGAGGTGGAAGGAGAAGAGGAAGAGCTACTGTTAACCAAAATACAAGATTAGACAACAGTCATTGATCTTAGGACATCAATCAGTCAGGCCATCTTGCGTCTCCAGTCAGCAATCTGCCATCTCTTCCGAGAAACTTTAATTAACAAAGGTTTTGTGGAAATTCAAATTCAGCTGCCAGTGAGGGAGAAGCCAATGTTTTTACTGTATCATATTTTAAAAATAATGCCTACCTAGCTCAGTCCCCACAGCTATATAAGCAGATATATGTCTGTACTGATTTTGAGAAGGTTTTCTGTATTGGACCAGTTTTCAGAGCTGAAGACTCCAATACCCACAGACATCTGACTGAATTCGTTGGTTTAGATATTGAAATGGCTTTTAATTATCACTATTATGAAGTTGTAGAAGAAACTGCCAACACCTTGGTGCAAATATTCAAACGGCTTCAAGAACGGTATCAGATTGAAACTCAAACCTTGAATAAACAGTTCCCATTCAAGTTTTTTGAGCCAACTTTATAAGACTAGTATTGTGAAGCTTTGGCTATGCTCAGAGAAGCAGGAGTTGAAATGGGCGACGAGAAAGATCTAAGTACTCCAAATGAACACTTATTAGGTCAGTCGGTGAAGGAAAAGTATGATACAGACTTTTATGTTTTTCATAAATATCCACTGGCTATAAGACCTTTCTATACCATGCCTGACCCAAGAAATCCTAAACAGTCCAACTTGTATGATATGTTCATGAGAGGAGAAAAAATACTGTCTGGGGCTCAAAGAATACATGATCCTCAGCTGCTGACAGAGAGAGCCTTACATCATGGAATTGATTTGGAAAAAAAATCAAAGCTTACATTGATTCCTTCCGCTTTGGAGCCCCTCTTCATGCTGATGGAGGCATTGGGTTGGAACGGGTAAGGATGCTGTTTTTAGGATTGCATAATGTGCTCAAGACCTCAATGTTCCCTTGTGACCCCAAATGACTCATACCTTAAAGCCACACTTTTTACTCTCTCCAGTAACCTGCTATTGATCAGGCTGTACCTGAGGTACTTAAAATATGCAATAGAATAAATATCTTACTAAAGTGCCCCAGTTATTTTTTAATTAATCCAGTATAAGTCAAGAAAAAACATTTTATAAGTTAAATGTGCTTTGGTAGAAAGTGCTTGAACATTTTAATAAGAATTTCCTATGATTATATTAATACTCATATTTCATTACTATGGTAAATATTAATAAGAATTTTAAACAGTTAAGATTGTATAAATTTTTCTTTTCTATATTACAGTGGTCACAGTATTAACATCTAAATTTTCAATATTTGAACTTTTTACTCTTGACATTGAGATAAGAACAAATGGAGAATACCCAAGATTTTAACATGTATGAAATTAATATGCCATAGGAAATTAAAGTGTCAGTTCTTAGATAACTTGGAGAAATCATGTGAAACATGTGAGAACACTGGCTAGAAACAATAATGCTATGTGAAACTGTTAAATTCTGAAGCTGAATTTCAATAAAAACTTAAAGCTAAAAAAAATAATAATATTAATAATAATTGGCATAATTCCTCAGGGTCCAAGGAGACTATATCCCAGGACAGACATAGATAATAAAATGGGTGGCGGTCGACAAGGTCTTTCCATCTCTTAAACCACAAAAGCTTTAATTTTATGTTTTCAATACTGCCAATAAGCATAAGGGGACAATTTTTTAAATGTGTTGCTATTTAAGAGAAAAGGGTTTTTGTTTGGGTATGTACTTTTTGTTTTTGTTAAGACAGGATCTCCCTGTAGCCCGAGTCCAGCTGGCCTGGAACTCACTACGTAGACTAGGCTGGCCTCAAACTCAGAGATCTGCCTGCCTCTGCCTCCCAAGTGAAGGCCTGTGCCACCATGCCCAGCCTAAAAGCTGACTATTCAGGGCTGCCAGGTGCAGATAATTTGGCCCCTAGGGAACAGCTAACAGGCTATGGCATGGCCTATTCTGGCTGGCCCAGGGCTAGACCTGCACGGGACAGTTCCTAGTACTCAGTCTTCGAGTATATGTTTTTCTCCTACTAGTTCTGCTTGGGTGCTGCTGATTCAACTACATGTGAATGAAACTACAATTATAAACGATTAATGAGACTGCACAGCTCAAGGGAACTTGTGGTTCTGTATAAAAGTTCTATAGTAAGACTTCCTGCTTTGAAACAAGATATAAAATCTTTGCAATTCTGCAATAAACTGCCTGCTTGGCCATCAGCCTACAGGTTCTCCTGATCCCAGTTGGTTCTGGGTCTGTATCTTTTTTCCTTCATCCCCCCACCCTTCCCACTCAGGTTTTAGGAACCCCACAGCTGGACTGTGGAAAGCTTGATAGCATTTAACCTAAATTATTTTCTCTGCCTCCGATTATTTGGGAGACTTACCTTCTCATATGCATTTTCTAGAAATTCAATTGGACTCTTCCCAAATGCTACAGCATGGCCAAGGAACGGAATTGGAGAGAAAATGTATGGTGGACTTTTCTGCAAGAGAAAAATGAAAAATTCAGTTCCCGTTTCAAGAGAAAAACTCCGTTTAGCTTAATAACCAACTTGCCATTAATTTTAAAATAATATTATTTTACATATATGAGTGTATTGCCTGCATGTGTATAAGTATACTTGTGTCATGCAATGCCCTCAGAGGTCAGAAGAAGCCTTCCAATCCCCTAGAACTAGAGTTCTGGGTGGTTGTTAGCTGTCATGCAGGTGCTGGGAACTGTACCAGGGTCTTCTGGCAGTCAGTGCTCTTAACCAAGGAACTATCTCTCCAGCCCCTAATTGTTTAAAATTTAAAAACATCCAGCAACAAAAAAAAAGGAACTTATGAACATTCAAACTGCCAGTATATTTGAAATTATAATCAAAAAGAACTCAAAATACTAATGACTAGGCAAAAAGACACTGCAATTTTCTTTTCTTTTTTTTTTAAGTTTTATTTATTATTTTTATTTTATGTGTATACATGTAGTACCTGCATGTAGATAAGTGCACCTGTGTCATGCAATGCCCGTGGAGGTCTGAAGAGGCTGTTGAATCCCCTGGGACTGGAGTTACAGACAGTTGTTAAGCTGCCATGTGGGTGCTGGGATTCGAACCTGGGTCTTCTGAAAGAACAACCAGTGTTCTTAACAGCTAAGCCATCTCTCCAGTCCCAGACATTGTAATTTTAAACAATGTCCACTATTACTGGAGGCCCCAGACAACTTTTCTAGCCACTAGGAGTAGTAAAAAGAAAAAAGTCAAAGTGAAAAGAACCTATGCCAGCTTCTTTGACTGCAAATAGCTAGATCCACTGACATTAAAGAGAGCAGACCTACTCCTGTAGAAATGCTGTGGCACCAGTCTTAAAAAGTACTTTAGATGCTACAAAAGGAGACCTGCAGATTACAATAGTAAGTCTCTAAGAAAACAAACCTTCAATGATGAAAAAAAGATGACATTCCTCCAATCTTCAGTAGTCTGAAAACACCACAACCTCACAGCACTTTAAAATAAAAATTTTAAGCACTAAAGGTAACTTTGTCTTTCTAGTGACAAGTACTACTTCCTCAAAAATCAAATGTGTAGAGGCTGGGTATGGTAGTGGACATCTGCAATCTCACCACCCAGGAGGTGAAGGCAGCAAGACTGGTAGTTCAAGGGAAGCAACTTCAAAGCCAGCCTGGGGTATATAAGGCCCTGTCTCAAAAAATAACAGTATCATTTTAAAATCACATCTAAAAAAAATAATAAATAGTAACTGCCTCGTGGTTGCTTAGATTCAAACAAAAATTATTATTAAAGCTACTTGGTTAGAACTTATCGCTGGGTACAATGTACTTAGTTTTTAAATTCCGTTGTCAATATTGAGAGGGTGGTATTCAAAGCTACCTAGTGTTCAAGATGCATTCATCAAATATATTTGGGAGGCTTGAAACTAGTGGTCCAAAAGCTGCTCCCTGGCCATCAAGGCCCTCACCAAGGGCCCAAACGCTTTGATCGCAGCCAGCCACACCACCACAGCGCTCTGGACTTACAGAAGGGCCAAGAACGCCAGACTGCCCACCGCCACGAAGGCCACCAGCCTGCACAGCCATCCCTATGACCACAAACGCTGCAAGCTCGGTCCTAGCAGGACCAGCTACGAAAGGCGGCAGTCACTGACACCGCTGGAATGACGACGGCGCGCACAGCCCCTGTTCCCAATTCCAGCAACCGCGATGGTCAGGGCCGCCACCCCAGCGCCCGGCGCGCCCGCTCCATCACCACCCGAAGCCGGGACCGTAACTGCGAGCACCGCCGGCCTGGCAGAGCTGCCGATGAGCGCCGCGATGGCAGCCCCAGGACCCCGGGGGTGCACGTACCGCCCCGGCGGGGAGCTGGACCATGTGGCCCACTGCTAGGCGGAACAGGTAGACCAGGCTGAGCGTGAAGGCGCAGGCGATGAGCAGGGTGGAGAGCAGGTTGCCGCCTGTCACCTGCTCCATCGCCTGGCCCAGCACCGAGCTTCCAGCCTGAAGCAAGCCCAGCAACACCATCCCCGCCGCCGCTTCGCTCCGCCCGACGCGCTGGAAGCCGAGGTCGCCGCGGCTCCTCCGAGAAGATGGAGCAAGAGAAGCTGGCGGATGGACGTAGGGAGGCGGCCCCGGCCTCCGGATCTCAACTAGCCCGGGTGCCACCCCCCCACCACCGCCCGCCCACGCACCACCCAGTGCGTCACAGACGGGGCGGGGCCTGCCGCTGGCCACGCTCTCTCAGCTCTCGGATGGCTGAGGTTGCCTGCGCCGGGGAAGGAGACCTGTGGGTCCGGGCTTCGCTGGTGGCACCTGGACACCGGGAAGAAAGGTATTTCTCTTCAGAAACGACCACGCCCTGAGGCCACGGGCCACCCCCGCCTGTGCCTAGGAAGCTCGGAGCTTGGATCCGCCGCGGGACGGGCCAGGCGGAGGGATCTCAGGACAGGCGCTCAGAAGGCGGAGTGGCGGCGCGCTCTGTGATTGCACCATGCGCCGCTGAGGTGATCTCGGCCTATGTGGCGTCAGCCTGCCGGGTGGCCCCGGCACCGCCCCTTCTCCGAGGGCCGCCGGGCCTTCTGGTACCTAGCTGGCTGAGCTGGCTGGTCCTATTGTGAAAAGCGCTTGAAGATGCTGTCTACTCAAGAGGGTGGGACCATGAGATCATCCCATATGATCCCTTTCGGTTTCACAGGTGTAGAACCGTAAAGTTAATATGTGCTGGTTATTCAGTATGCTGGTGTAGGACGTTATAAAAAATAAGCCAAGGTCACATTTCCCAAGAACGTCCATTCGGAGGGGTTTACTGGCCAGATATCTCACTCCCTAACTGCAACTGCAAGCGTTCCTGATAAGGTGACTGTCAGTTAACCCTCCTTCCAACTCATCAACATGAGGTCAAGGATAAGAACTAGGTTTTGTGCTAAGCTTGGGGAACCTGCCCGGAATGAAAACAAAACTGCAAGGCCCTCAGGGAATGAACATGAATATACAGTTGTCTTCCAGATAATTCTACCTACAGAGCTAACTTTTTTTTTTTTTTAGGAGAAGCATTTCATTACAGCTTTAACATACTCAATAAAAATTTCCAGAGCAAAGATACATCTCTTTCAAAAGTGGTTATAAGATTTTTAGGTTCACAGTTGAATTAATACAGTTAATATTGAACTCAGAATAAACCCTGTAAGACATAAAATTGAATGACTTTTTAACCTTTAAAAAAGATCTCCATTTCATTTTAAAATATACTGTTTCTTACAGAAATACTTATTGTTTTTGCTAATAACACTTAGATGTTGGCGCATGTACGTATCTGATTATTATTAGTTATGGTCGGATGCACTCGGGTCCTTGGCACCTGTGTATGGATATAAAGTCATTGGGTAGATTTCATTGGTAATGTTTATCACCTCTACTACTTAACGATGTAAATGTTTATGCTTCCTCCTCAAATATAACTTTTTTTAAATTTGTTGATTGTGTGTGTGTGTGTGTGTGTGTGTGTATCACACAGAACATCTCAAACAATCTTATTCATCTATATACCCACTTCCCAGATGGCACCAGAGCTAATTTTTATCTCAGTCAGTAAAGCGCCAAAATAAAATCTCCTCCCACCCCTCTGCCAACCCAACTTCCTGCAATGCTTTTCTAGGAAGGACACCACTGTGCCCCATTATACTTCTCCCTCGGTCCTCACATTTAATCAGTCAACAAATCTATAATTCTGCCATTTTAAAATTTTCTCCATGCTCATGGGCACTGCGCTAGGAAAGGCCCTCGTCGCGTCTGGTCTGTTATTACTACGACAGGATCCTTGTCTAGTTACCCTACTAGCAAGCTTGTCCTTGACTTGTGTGCTGCACAAGTTGATTTGATTCACTGAAGTGAGCTCCAGCCATAAACCCAAAAGATACAATCCAGAACACTATAATCTCAAATGCTGAAATCCTAAAAGATCAAAAACTCCTTAACATCTAAAATCCTGAAAGAGCTGGGCGTGGTGGCTCATGCCTATAGTCCCAGCACTTGGGAGGCAGAGGCAGGTGGATCTCTGTGAGTTCAAGGCCAGCCTGGTCTACATAGTGAGTTCCAGGCCAGCTGGGGCCACAGGGAGACCCTGTTTCAAAAAGACCAAAAAAAAAAAAAAAAAAAAAAAGACTTTTGGATATGGACATCATCAGGACTGACAACTTTAACCTAACCTTGCAATCAAAAAGCCACTGTTTATAATGTAACAAGCTCACTGTGTGCTCCTCTTATGACACAGGCATGTGACCTTAATCCCTCAGGAACCCTCCTTGCTCTCCACCCAGGATAATGAATATATGTGTTCATGCTTTTAAAGTGATGAGAACAATATGTTCTCATTGCAAACAATGTGAAAATTTGAAAAGTTGTTCATAATTGTATGTGTTATATTCTAGACCTAGGGTTCAAAAGGCAAGATTTTATGATAAAGGTGGGTCCTAACTTCTACTTCCCATTTCACACTGGAGATACTGCTTCAGTAAAAGAATAAACAAAGCCCAGGGCTCAGAAGCACAGGTCTGAGCGACATCTGAATGAACATGTGCTCAGCAGTTCAGGTCCACTTTTGGCCTTAAAATGAATGATAAAAGTCAAATTAATTAACTCTCTCTCTCTCCCTTCCTCTTTTAAGCAGCACTGTAACGTGACTTAGAAACACTGCAGATAGAACCATCCCATAGCATATAAAATGGAATAGCATATAATGGATAAAAAAGGAAGGAACCAGAGAGAGGCATGCTGCCCATCAAGATGTGACATGATCTGCTCTGCTACATCCCTCCCATCCTGATGAACTGAAACCATGAGCACAGATAAACTTTTTCCTTCTTTAAGCTATTCTATTTTGTCATAGAAATGAAAAGTCTGACAATACCTAGTCTTTCATCATGATTATGATACAACTGTGGGTTTTTCAAAGATATATTTTTATGAAGTAAAATAAGTACCATTCTAGTTTTGGTTTATTGATTATTTTATTACAAAGAAGTCAGAAGTGTTACATTTTGTCAAATTTCTTTTCTTTGTCTTTGAGATACTTGTGGGGTGTTTATCTTTTTTATTTTTTATTTTTTTTACTTTATGTGTATGAGTATTTTGCTTGCATGTCAGTAAGTGTACCACATGTTTGTAATGCCCACAGAGACCAGAAGAGGGCAACAGATCCCTTAGAACTGGAGTTATAGATGGTTGTTAGCCACCATGTGGGTGCTGGGTGATAGGTAGAGAATGGGTGGGAGCGAGCGGCGCGGATGGAGGAGGCACGAGCGGATGGATGAGGCACGGAGGCTCAGATGGAATTCTCAGTGGGACACAGATTTATTTCGCACAGAGCACCTTTCCCTCAGGAAGGGAAAGATGTCGGCGGAGGGAAAGATGTCAGGGAAGGGAAGGGAAGGGAAGGGAAGAGAAGGGAAGGGAAAGGAAAGATGTCAGGGAAGGGTGTCCGGGAAAGATGTCCTTGAAGGGAAAGATGTCTGCTCAGGGGTTGTGAGCTGGGACTTTACATATGGATATGGGGGCTTTACGGTGTGGAAGGGGAGAATGTTTGGGGGAGAAATCAAGGAGGGGGAGGCAGGAAAAGCAGGTAGGATTAGGGTCTGGAAGTGTTTACTTTTTCCCTCTTAAGAGAAAAACAGCTTCTAAAATCTCTGGTTATCAGGTAGAATCTGCTTATCCTATCTTTGGAGGTCAGAGGAAAGGCAGGCTGCTTCTCAGCAGAGTTTGTTTCCCTTGACTTCAAAGGTCAAGGTGCTTATCAGCTAAGT